GCCGCAATCCCTTCTCCTCCATTCTCCTCTTGGGATCTTGGGCACACATGCATACGCGCCCGGCGTGAGTTTAAGTCACTGGGTCCGGGACTCGAACCACCGTCGACTACATGGGAGTCCAGCGACATAGCCATTACGCTAACTGCTGGTCCCAGAGAGTTCTTTTTTAAAAAAAAAAAATTAGAGGTTTTGCCTTTGGGTACATGTGCTCACCAGAGATATTGAGACAGAGACAGTGAGAGGAAAAGTAGGAAATTACCCCCCAAAGGGGATGGCCATGCCACAATCTTTTTTCTCCCATTCTCCTCTTGGGGTTTTGGGTACGAATGCACACACACACGCCCACACGCCCGGTGTGAGTTTCACATCATTGAGTCTGGGACTTGAACCACGGCTGGCCACTTGTGAGTCTGGTGACATATTGAGACAGAGACAGTGAGAGGAAAAGTAGGAAATTACCCCCCAAAGGGGATGGCCATGCCACAATCTTTTTTCTCCCATTCTCCTCTTGGGGTTTTGGGTACGAATGCACACACACACGCCCACACGCCCGGTGTGAGTTTCACATCATTGAGTCTGGGACTTGAACCACGGCTGGCCACTTGTGAGTCTGGTGACATAACCACTATGCCATCTGCTGGCCCCCTACCTCTGGAGATTTTGGAATCAAGTGCTTGCTGCCCATGCAGAAAGAGGGGTGTACTGGCCTCCCCGGCCCCATGAGTAGTGTATCCCGGAATGGCAGAGGAAGAAGGGGTGAAGGGAACGGGCTGGGCTGGGCATGAGCGGGCGTTGGCCGGGGTGTACCTGGAAGGTGTCTGGCCGGTGCTGTTGCTGGTGAGCCCCCAGGACGACGAGGCTGAGCAGAAACATGACAACGCTGAACAGGAGCAGCAGGACATAGCTCCAGCGTGGGAGGTGCAGGACTGAGTCCCCGAAGACCAGCACGCAGCCCAGGGTGATAGACGAGGCCATCAGAACGCCAAGCGCCCAAGCCACGGCACCTCCAGGGCTGCACCTACCCAGAAAGCCTAGGTAGGGCCTCAGGGCCAGTCGCAGCTGCCCAGGCTCAGGGCCTGAGGCCTGCTCAGCATCCACCAGCTGTATCTGGTCTGAGGGGTCGGGGCTGGCTGGGCCTGGGGAGCTGGGTGGAGACTCCTTCTGGAAGCGCAGCATGATGATGCTGGCGGCCACAAAGGTGTAGACCACCAGCGTCCCGATGGATAGGACCTGCACCAGGGCCTCGAGGTCCAGCAGCAGCGCCAGGAGAGCCATCAGGACCCCGAACACCAGGATGCCCACCATGGGCACCTGCATCCGGGGGTGCACGCGGGCAAACGCCTGGAAGAACAGCCCGTCGGCAGCCATGGCGTAGACAATGCGAGGCAGGGAGAAGAGATTGCTGAGCAGGACGGTGTTCATGGCTGCGGCAGAGGGTGGGGAAGGGTCAGCATGGCAGAGAAGCCCAGCCAGGGCACAGCGGGCCCCTTCGGAACGTGGACAGAGCCCATCTGAGCTCTGAGAGTGAACATGAGTGTGTGTGTGGGGATGCTGCATTGCCACCCCCTGAGCCGGGAAAGGGACGCTCCAGGTCAGGTCACAGGTGCACTGGGGAGCTGACGACAGCTAAGTCCCTCTGCCCAGGAAGATCTGTAAGCACGTGCCCGGAAATGGCTTTCTAAGTTCGACTTTGGGTGTAGGGAGATCCCACCCAACAAGCCTGGGTGGAGAGTGATGACGGATGCTTTTCTGGGTCCCTAATGCAACTGGTCAAAGTGAGGTCCAGACGGAGGTGCATTCCCCGGGAGGCTCAGGCAGGGTCTCCCTACCCTGGTCCCTGCCACCCCACCCGGAAGGGCCCCTTACCGCAGATAGAGCCAACCGCCACGATGAAGCCGGCCCAGCTGTAGCCCCGGCGGGAAGAGGAGT